ATACATACATACATACATACATACATACATACATACATACATATATATATATATATATATATAGTTCAATGTCTATATGTATATATAGTTCAATGTCTGGCAAGTCTGACATGGAACAAATAGGTGTATTGCTGATTGATGCAAAACTCTGAGGCATCACAATGCAATAAAGCATGCAGAGTGAATACATTTCAGTTGCATACACCAGCATAAACCCATCCACCAGATTCCTGCACAAAATGAACTAAAAGCGAGTAGGCAGCGGGTGAGAACTAAAGTGGTTTTCTTGTGAAAGCATGGCACTGATTGGGCAGAATGCTAGTGACTGTTAAGCAGCATGTGTGTTTATTTACGGGCCACGTCATGGGTCTTACATTGACGCCATTTGACTTGGATATAATTAGGGGGCATCTGGTCAGTTCAGGTACTGAGCTGGTGACTATGGGTTTGCAAAACTGGACCTGTCAGGGTTTCTGCCATCCGGTAAATTTTGACGGAGCTGACGTGGTTTTACATATTGTGAGCTGTAGTTTACACAGCAGCACATTTTGTCCTCTTGTGGCTCGTTAAAGCAGTATAAAGGCCTATTTTGCGTGATATGTACAGTAACTACATCATGTGTGCCTACAATAGTTATAGCTACTGGGTCAGTTGGTACTGAGTAATAAGTAATAGTAATGCCCCCTTTCAAGCACTGATATAATAACACAAATCCAGGATTGCAAGAGATTCTTGTACCATAACAAGAATACATTGTGCAGTTGGTACAATCTCAAACTAGTTGCTGCATCATGGTGCTTTCCTTGTGTGTGACTTACTCTAGTTGGTCGTAGTTGACACACATGAGGGGAACCTCAGTGCTGCAACGCTGGTGGAACTTGTAGCCACAGGTCTGACAGCGGAAACCCTGGAAGAGCAGCTTTCTGCAGAAGTCACAGAAGGCCAGTGTGAAGAAGGTCTTCCTAACCTATAAATCAAACACAAACACAGAATCAGGACCAAGTAGGGTGTAGCGGGTTAGACCCCTTTAAGAGAGGGGTGCCAGTCAGAGTCACGTCTGACAAATAATAGTTATAAAATAGAAAGAAAATAGCTCATTCAAACCATACAAAACAATAAAGCAAATACCCAGTAGCAATGAAATATATGTCACCATGAACCAGCACTGCAAATCAAATAGACCCCAACCCAGTTCAGCTTTTAAGAAGCGTATTCGATCAAGGGAGAATTGGTGTATGTTTCAGTTGAGTTTGCGTCCCACAGTCTTAAATTTCAGACCACTCAGTAAAGATTCTGTTTGTTTTTTCACAAGTCAAAACAGTTCAGTCCCCTTTAGCACAACTCAAGAAGAAAGACAACTCAAAACTGTGCTCCGGGTGTTACCCCACAAATGAACAAATCAGGAAATCGAATTACAATGTCTGCATCTGCCATTTAACAACAGCAATTATAAACAGTAGAAACTATATACTGTACATCGGGTACTCACAGTACCTTTGAACAGTTAGACAAGAGTCAAGTCATCAACCTTGACTCCTGAAAGACACCGGCAACTCCTGGAGAAACTCAGACGGGGAAATATAAATCCACCAGAATCTGCCTCCTCCTGACAGACTCCAGAGAAAATTGGCTTTAGCTTTTTCCAGTTGCCGTTCCCATTTTACGAAAAGCTGACCAACGTTAAGTTTCAGCTCTGCAGGGAAAACTGTAGTGGACTCCTGGACTGCCAAGTTTATAGCAAACCGGAACTCTGGGAGGTATTTATCCCAATGCTTATGCTGGTTTCCGGATGCAATCATTGATTTTAAGGTGCGGTTCACTCTTTGTGAGGTTGGTCTGGAGATGTTAGGTGGATGTTAATTTGTGTCCCACGTTCTAGGCTCGGCACAAACTTTTGGATGATTGAAGAGATAAACTGTGACCCACAATCTGACAGAATTGTGATGGAAAATTTCCCTGTGCCAGTACTTTTCGATCTTCCAAATATGTCCTCCACTTCTCCAATGGCCACACCACAGCCAAGCATCGTGTGGCAATTGTGGCTCAGTGGTAGAGCAGAGACGTCCTTCAATCAGAGGATCGGCGGTTCAATCCCCGGCTCTGCTAGTCAATGTCGATGTGTCCTTGGGCAAGACACTTAACCCCAAATTGATCTTGCAGGCTGTTCTTGCGGTGTATGAATGGGTATGAATAATTAGTTAGAGTCCTGATGAGCAGATGGCACCTTGCATGGTAGCCCCTGCCATCAGTGCGTGAATGGGTGAATAATGACATGTATTGTTAAAGCATTTTGAGTGGTCGGAAGACAAGAAAAGCACTATACAAGTACAGTCCATTTACTATTCTATGGTAATAGAAATCATAATTCCTCTCTGCTGGATTTTGGCTGCGGCTGGCAAAAGCAATGACTTCCTCAGTTCAAGGTTGATCCTATCTCGCTGGCATCGGTGTTGACCAAAAAAGGAGCATTGAAGTTTGGGTGACTGAGGACAGGTTGGTTCTGGTTCATCCACCATCTTCCCAAATGATGGAAACTGTAGCTTAACAGGGCATTTTCCCACCAACCGTCCTCGGCTCTCAGGCAGAACACGGGAATCTCGTGGTGAATCTAACATACATGCCTTTATATCAGACTGTAGAGTAGACTGGAGGCACTGCCTCTGGGCCTCTCCCAGCTGATCCAATCACCGTTAGAGGCAGCTTGGATAGGGACAGATGTAAGTGCAGATACTGTATGTTGATATTTCATTATCAATATTTTCTGGGACATGGAATCCATACTTTGAGACAATTTTCACACCTCATTATGAAGCGAAGACCCTAATGAAATTGTAAGGAACGGCTTATTAGGGCCCGAGCACCGATAACATCAGGCCAGCGAAGGGCCTATTGAAACTGGTATGTTTATTATTTTTCTTCTGCCAAATGAATTGCCTTTTTGGGGGCTTTATTATATCCTACAACTCACAAAATTTGGCATGCATATCAGGACTGGTTAAAAATTTGATATTTTATGGGTCCCATAATTGAGTATGACAAAATAGCTCTCTAGCGACCCCTACAAGTTAGACCGGCGACGCCCCTCGGCCAGTATGTCAAATTTACTTGAAATTCGACACACATGTCCAGCTCCACTAGCTCTACAAAAAAGCCAATCAGGCTCATAAGCTCCGCCTACCAAAGTTTTCTGCCATTTTGAATTTTGTGAAAAACTTGTTTTTGCGAACTCCTCCTACACGCTGGGTCCAATTGCTACCAAATTTGCTGTGGATCATTAGTGGATTGATATCATGTAAAATCATTACGTTTGTTCACAACTCATTGCATTTGGAAAATATGGACCAATAAATGTATTAGGGGCGTGGCTTGTATATCAATAGACATAACTTCAAAACCATTTGTTCAAAAATCACCAAATTTGCTGTATATGTGCACATTGCATTCTGGAACATAGCCTGTCATTTTCATTCCATTCAACTTCTAGGGGGCGCTACAGTAATTGACCCATTTTCTGCTTTTTTGTCATTTTCTCTCTTTGTACTTTAACAAACTCCTCCTACAGAATGTATGTGATTGATTTCAAAATTGGTCAGGACGCTCTTAAGACCTTTGTGATAAAAAATTATTAAATTCGTGAGTTTTCATGGAAGAACCTTGACGTGGCGGGACGGCCATTTAGTATGAAAAAGGAAATTGTTATAACTCCAATGTACATTATCCAATCTGCACAAAATTTCTTATGCATGATGCTACTTCAAGCCTGACCACTTTTAAATGCACTAATTTCCAATAAGCCATAGCACCACCTACTGGCAAAAGCAAATGTCACATTTTATACTTTTATTTACTCCCCAAATTTGTTAAGGAAAGCCTTAAGACATTGATAGTAACTTGGGATACTCAAAAATTCTTGGAACTTTGTACATGTCATAGGTGACGCAAATACAGATTTCATGTAGATTTTAGCCTTGGCCGTTATAAATTGCCTCGATAGCGCCCCCTGCAAATTTTTAACAAAGCAGCCCCAACGCCCCGTTTCACCTACATGTATTAAATTTAGTAGTCACATGTATCGCATGAAGACTTAAAAGAAACTCTTTTATGCATGGTCCTAAACTCTTACGACCATGCTCTAAAATCAACCAAAAGTCGTCCATTTCTATTTTTGTGTGAATTGTACCTTGATTCTTGTCACTTTTTAGGCGCTATACTTTAACGAACTCCTCCTAGGGACTTTGTCAGAGCCACTTCAAATTTGGATAGCACAGTCCAAAGACCTTTGTGATTAAAACTTATCAAAAGCTTTACGTTTGATGGAATGGTGTAGGAATGGTGTAGCGGTCATTTTACGTGACTCCCATTAAACTACATTTTCAGGCTTTGTATTTTAACAAACTGCTCCTACAGAGTTTATGCGATCAACATTAAATTTGGTCAGGATGATGTAAAGACCTTTATGATGAAAACTTTTCAAAATGGTGAGTTTTCATTGAACGAACTTGACGTGGCGTGCGCCCACTTCGCTCCCATTCGCTATGAAAGAGGGAGTTGTAACTCCAAGGTACATTGTCCAATCTGCCCTAAATTTCTTTTGCATGATGCTAGTTCAGGCTTGAGCACATTTCCATGCCAAAATGTTTACAAAGTCATAGCGCCACCTACTGGCAAAAGGAAATTACACGCTTTATACTTTGATGTACTCCTACTAGCCAGTTAACTTGATAGACCTCACATTTTGTGAGGAAAGCCTTAAGACATTGATGATACTTCATCATGAATTTTGTGAGTTTTTGTTAAAAGATGTTGCCATAGCAATGCATTATTCACCATGAAATGGAAGCTGATTTTTCTGTGGCTTAGGATGATCAAATAGTCATGGAACTTTGCACATGTGTCAAAGGTGATAAACATAAATATTTCATACGGGTTTTTGCCGTTACCATAAAAAATTGTCTCGACAGCGCCCCCCTACAAATATTCTAAAGAGCAGCCCCAGCGGTATGTTTCACCTAGATGTATGAAATATTGTAGACACATGTATCACATGAATACTTAAAAAAAGTATCTTGAGACTATGCTCTAAACCCTACTGGAAGTCTTCAATTTTGATCTTTATGTTCATTTTCCCTTCATTTTTGACCATTTCTATACTTTAACGAACTCCTCCTAGGGAATTGTTCAGATCCACTTCAAATTTGGTCAGTACAATCTAAAGACCTTTGTGATTAAAAGCTTTACGTTTGATTGAATGGTGTAGCCGTGGCGTGGCGGCCATTTTACGTGACTCCCCATGAAACAGCAAGCTGATGTATCCCCATTGGACTTACTCAAATCTTTCCTAAATTTGCCATGATTGATAACAGTCATGGCCTGAGTACGTCTACAAGCCATCTAAGTCAAAGCGCCACCTCATGGCGAAAGGAAATCAGCATTATTTGACAAACGATATCCGATTCACATGACATTTACATGATGTTGTCCATACTTGATATAGAGCAACATAATGCATGTTGCCGCGCGTTGTTTAGCACCACACATTGGTTACAGGAAGTGGTGGACTATTTGCAAAGCATAATTTCCATGATCACATACTCCATGCAGGAAAAAAAATTCTAACTCTTGGTCGCGTTGTCCGATTGTCGCAAACATTCTCGGCCATGTAAGCAGAGGTCTCGCAAAGGTGCGAGGGCCCGTTCATCATTAAAAGTTATCAAAAGCTTTTTGATATCTCTTTGCTTTTACATTATATGGACCAATTAACTTCTTAGGGGCGTGGCTTATACATCAATACACAACTTCAAAACCATTTGTCCTAAACTCACCAAAGTTGCAGCATATGTGCACATTACATTCTGTTACATACCCTGATATTTCTATTCCATTCAACCAGTAGGGGGCGCTACAGCAAACCCACTATTTTGTCGTCACTTTTTGCATTTTTCAGCCTTTGTACTTTAACGAACTCCTCCTACAGAATTGATGGGATTGACCTCGATGGGATTGACCTCAATTTGGTCAGGATGCTCTTCAGACCTTTGTGATGAAAAGTTATCAAATTCATGAGTTTTCATTGAAGAACCTTGACGTGGCGGCCATTTGGCCTCAATCGGCATGAAAAAGTAAGTTGTCATAACTCCAAGGTACATTATCCAATCTGCACAAAATTTGTTATGCATGATGCTACTTCAAGCTTGAGCATATGTCAATGCCAACATTTTCAATAACTCATAGCGCCATCTACTGGTAAAAGGAAATGTCACATTTTACACTTGTATTTACTCATAGCCAGCTCACCAGATCAGTCTCAAATTTGGTAAAGATAGCCTTAACACATTGATGATGCATCGTCATGAATATTGTGACTTTTCGTAGAATGCTGCTGCCGTGGCAAAGTATCATTCGGCTTGAAAAATGACGCTGATGGTTCAGTGGCTTGGGATGCTCAAAAACTCAGAACTTTGTACATGTGTCATAGGTCATGGGAAGATATATTTTATATGGGTTTTTGGCTTGGCCATTTTAAATTGCCTCCATAGCGCCCCCTACAATATTTCAAAAGAGCAGCCCCAGCACTACATTTCAGGTACATGTATTAAACTTGGTAGGCACATGTATACCATAAAGACTTGAAAGAAAGTATCTTGGGACCATGCTGTAAACCGTACCGTACATTTTGATTTTTGTATAATTTTTTTATCGATTTTTGCCCATTTGTAGTCCCTATCCTTTAACGAACTGCTCCTAGGGAATTTGTCAGATCCTCATAAAATTCGGTCAGTACAATCTCAAGACCGTTGTGATTAAAAGTTATCAAAAGCTTTACATTTGACAGAAACCTGGCTGTTCACACCAGAAGCACATTTCTCCACACTGGTCAACGAGCGATTCTGCTCCTCCGCTGTTTGCGTTAGAGGTATCTCTGTCTGTCAAATTACTTATATCATATATATCATGTATGTCCTTCATGATAGATTATCAGTGTATTTCTTGCCAGAATCGATCATGGCACATGAAGCAGAGCCTCAACGCCGAGTAAGCAAGCCAGCCGTGGAGCTCTGAGCAGTGGCGCATTCTGTGTGCGTAGCCCAATTGGTTTCCATAAACGGCGAAAGGACGCCGGCAGCACTACGCCAAAAATCGTGGCTTTTACACATCCAGTGTGCACCTGGTGTAAGGCTGAGCAAAATAATTAATATATAATGTTTATTGTCATTTGAGTTACGATGTGACATTTAGTCTAACAGTACTTACAAAGTTGTGTGTGGTGAGCGGAACATTCTCCAGCACTTCTACATGTAACTCCTCTCCTGTCAGCCAGGAGATGTCTGTGTCCCAGCCAATCGGCTTCTTCTCTCTGAAAGAGGAAGTGGAGAGGTAAGGGTAAAGGTCTACATCTCACACTGCTGTTTGTCAAACACCATATAGAAAGTTGCAGAAACATGACCATGGTGGTTTCCAAAAGAAAAGCAGCACATGCCACATGTAGAAAGTTAACCTTTCATTGATTAATAAGGTCCACATTCAGACAAGGTCCTCTTGTTCCTCCTTTTTTTTGTTTTCCAGCATGCATTTCATATCAAACACAGTCATAACTGATATAATTTTCACATCTGAAATGCTTTAGACTAGAAATTAAACTGTTCCGATTTTGAATATGTGAAACTATGCCTTCATTTTCTTTCTTTATATTTTTTTTCATATATACATTTATTGTGCCATACAGCTTTGTATTGCCTACGTTTTCTGAGACCTGCTGGCCTGTCAAATCCAGCCGGTCAACTCGGCAGGCCAGCTCTTGAGGTTACCAGCTGGTCAGCATCCATGGTCATACCAGGAAGAAGAGTGTGACCTCAGCAGCTTTTGGTAATTTACAGCTGGCTCGTTGTCCTTGTTACAACGGCGTATTAGGGCCATTGTAGATTAAAAAAATAAATTATTATGGAGCAAGTTTTTTCTCTCGTAAATTAACTACTTCAATCTCGGAAAGTTTTTTTCCCCCAATATTACACCCCTCCCCTGGCTCCTTAATTATTATCACTTTTTTTTTACCTACAGTGTGCCTAATACGCAGTAGTACTTTATAGACTTTTAAACAGAAGATATAATTCCTTTTGCAGGAGAGCAACTTATTTAATAAAGTGAGTGAATACTTGACACCAGTGATAGGATGACTTCATGTAGACTTACCCGTCCTGTATCCTATAGACTGCACAGCATTCTGGAATGAGGCCTCGCATCATCAGAGCTTTCTTCAGTGAGTCTCTTACAGTCATCCCACAGCGAGCCGGAACCTGAACACACCACAACAGCACTCGCTGAACCAACATCAAAAAGAAAATGAGCTGACACAACCACAAGTGTGGATGTTGAAAGTTTCAACTGTAAAGTTGGAGTGAGAATGTTCCTTGTAGCAATTAGTCTCAGGGAAACCATCTCTCTGAGTGCTGGTAATAGCTTGCCACAGTGGAGTTCACCAAAGTGAAAAGTCAGTCACACGTGAGTTAACACTCATTTATTTCACACTGATCATAAATCTGCAGAGAGCTAAAAAAGCTTCCTATAAACAGACAGCAGCCCCTTTCAACCGCAGGGATCAGGGTCTAAATTATGTTCCAGGGACATTTACCCCCAAAAAGGCCCTGGTCGGGGGGGTAGTTCAGGAAAGTGCAATAATATTTGGGATGGGGTTTGCAGGGTTGAGCGTCGTTGATTGGTCAAACACACAAAACACTCATTAAACAATTCAGGACCATTTTAGGATGGGGGGTAGAGGGTTAGGTTAGGGCATTTCTCTCTTTTTATGTTTGTTGCTGGCTTTCTGACTTATTCTGAAAAAGGCAGAGAGGAAAAGAGAAAGTAGTAGTGCTGTGAATGAGAAAAACAATGAGAGAAGTTTATTATGAGTTTATTCTCATTGTTTCATGGTGGTTACATTCTAAAGCACAAATAAATAACCATTGAACACTCATCAGATTGATTGTCTATGGAGACAAAATCTTCAGTAAATTGTATGTAGCATTAAATGTTGTCGTGGTGAGACATAACCGTTGATAACGTTTATTATTTTCCCCAAGATGTTTTTTAGATAAAACTGGCGGGCACACTAAATTGCAGGCTGGAGAGTGCATTTACCGCTGCAACACCAGCATCTTTGCAGGTTTTTAAATCGCTATGAAAATGCAGACAACAATGGGCTGACGGAACCTTTTCTTTCCTGGAAAAATAATCCCGGGACTAAAATTACCAGGAACTTCCTGGTAGTGACGCAGCTAGGGAAACTAATATCAGCCTTTGCTGTGCTGTCCAGGTCCAAGATTCCAGCATCTGTAGTCCTTGACCGGCTGAACTGAAGATTATTACAGATGTTAACACTTCCTATTCTTCAGCCTGAACCACAACGAGATATTATTTTCCTAAGTACCTTTACGCCTGGGCTGCGCTCAATATCAAATAAGGAATATTTTTCAACAGCCTTAAAACCTCTTAACACTCCGACGGCCCGCATCTGTGTCATGTACAGAACTGCTATGTATAGGTTGGTACTGATGCGACATATCTTTGGAAAGCTAAGATTCTTGTGATTCGATTTCTGCAAACCATTTCAAGATACAATCACAACAGCAGGTACAATCACCGCCTCTGTCAGACCACCAACCAACAAGCAAACAGTTACAAAATCGAGGCAACTCACCGATGAAGCGTCATAGAAACCCACCCATCGATAATATTCCAACAAAAACGGTCTTGTTACATTGCCAAAGGTCCAGACGATCCGATCCAGTAAAATATTTAGTCCAAAACACATTATTACGTCCATAAAACCCACGGACTGCTGTTGCATCATTTTAAATTAGCTGGCAGATATGCCTAATTATTTATATATTTTCGAACGTAACTTCAGTTCGCATGTACATTTTGCCGGTCTCTGTGTCTCAAAATGGCGGCTGCACTCTGACGTTTTGATTGACACCTCATTTGACCCAATAGGAGCTTCCATGTCTTGTCAGCCTACAATAACCAACGATAGTCCTCGTTGAAGGAAAGTGCCTGCCACTCTTCTTTCGTGGAAAGCTCGAGCCAATTGCAACTGATCGTTCTGATGACTGACGCTTCGTATAGCCAATGAAATTTCGAAAATAATGATATACAGCTTCAGGGGTTAGATTTAGAGGCAGAATGCGGAAGTAACCTGCGTAACCGCGAGTCAGCTCCCTGCGTTTGTGCGTAAAATGCAAAGTGTGGTTTTTGAGAGTTTTGGAGACTTTAGGAAAGTAAATAATGCCGAAATAACTTATAGATTACTGTATATCGACATAAATAAGCTTGAGTTATGAATACACATTTTTACACAGCCTAGGTATGTTACCATGGGTCTCCAAATGGCCTTTTTTGGAAAGCGCCTAGACATACCTTTAGAAAAACATGTGTAAAATATTCATTTTCTGTGGTTCCACCTTTAATAAGTCCCAGCTATAGTCATCTGCAGGCATCTGTTTGCAAAAAAATATTCAGGCGGAAATAAAAACCTTCTACTTCAGTGTGTTCCAACTTCTATTACTCAATGCCAGTAGCACTTACAGTGATTCTGACTGTTGGGGGAAAAACTTCAGAGTTTTACCTTTCAAAAGAGACGGAAACCATGCATGTACTCCAAGTGGTTCAACAGCTTTCAATTTACTTTGGGTATGCCTTGGATAGGCGTTTTAGGCTAATTTTACTGGAGTGGTAACAGGTTAAAAGGGAAATTCCGGCATTTTCCACCTGCAGTCACATTGTAGGAATTTGATCCACAATTTTCGGAATATTTCTTTGGTCCCCAAAGCTTTGAGTTGACAGTAGTCAGTGGATGTACCTCACCTTGAGAGCTGATCTCTTTTCATTTGTAAAATGTAAATGTACCACTCTATAGCAAGACAGAGAGGACTGAACGCTAAACGTTTTGGACAGCAGAGAATACAACTGGAAAGTTAAAAACAAATTTAGAAGTAAAAGCATTGGGGACTACTACTTGGTCTGTACCAAATGTTATTTTTGTACATTCAAAGCTTAAATTGTGGTTTTTGAATGAAGCATAATATTTTAGGAAATCATCACCTTAGAAAAAAATGTAAATCTCAGTTTCGACTTGAAGACTACAAAACTAGTCTTTTCATTAAATCAACTTTCTTTATTGGACCTAACTTGTCAGTGCGTGCCTTCCTTTGTGTGCAGGAGTGAAAATGTTGTTAGGATAAAATTTTGTTGAATAAAAACGTGTTTTATTCTAAAATTTGTATAATACTTATACATGTGAATACCCTGATCTTTATCTGCAACTATACAAAAATACCAGTTTAAAAAGAAAGAGTACACATGCAAAAGAAAAAAAAAAAAAAGCTATGCAACATTCAAATGTTGATTTAGGATTTGAATGTCAACGTTATGAATAAGGCTGTGAAGCTCCGAAATTCGGATGAAACCAAGCTACAATGATCGTAGTACCAGTGCTATTGCGCAATTATGCTTTTTCAGGTAAGCTTTGGTTTTCTCTGGGTTCACAAAGAAAATGTTATTCAACTTTGTAAAAATCCCGAAAGTTTGAGTTTATTGAGCAACTGCTGTAGTAAACCACAGCTTCAGAAGGACTGTTAAAAGATGCTGAATGCGAGATTACACTGAGTTGCAGAAGCTAACTTATAGCTATTGCTAATTGTAATTTTTATTCCACAACCATGACATCTATCATACTTCTGTCCACCCTGATAGAGGGATCCCTCCTCTGTTGCTCTCCCTGAGGTGTCTTCCTTTTTTCCCCCAGGTAAAGGGCTTTTTGGGGAATTTTTTCCTTATCTGAGGCGGGGGTCCAAGGACAGAGGATGTAGTATGTTGTACAGCTTGTAAAGCCCTTTGCAGCAAATTTGTGATATTGGGCTGAACTAATACAATTTAATTGAATAAGTAAAATGAATTTGCTTTTGGTTTCTTATATTGGACAAACCAAATCCAAAACCGAAAAATCATGTTCACAACATAAGCATCCTCAGGGAGGACGTCAGACATACCACTGTTCTCTGTTTGTTGGGCAGGAAGACCCTGACGATGGGCTTCTGGGGGGAGCGAGGGTTGGCTCGGCCGGCATCAGTGGGGGTCTGCAGGACAGCCAAGGTATTGGGGGCTGAGGGAAAGGCCTGAGCCCCCCCCAGCGACCCCACAACCTCCCATCTTGACCTCCAGAAGGGCTGGCATGGCAGGAGAGCAGGAGAAGTCTGTGCCGTTGCCCATGGCCTCCAGCAGCTGCTGCTCCCTCTGCTGCAGGGCGTCCAGTTTACTGGTGTACTCCTCATAGGCCTGACAGAGACGACCCACCAGAATACACTGACTCAACAGCTTCCATACATGAAGTGACACTTACTTATATTGTCTTGTAATGTGTTCTGGCGGCGTGAAGTGTATACTGCATGGATGTAAAACTTGCATTTTTATTTACAATCACAAGACGATATTTCTCTGCAAATGCATTCTTTCAAGTCAAAACTATCTTACCTCTAGATATATGGAAGGAGGGTTGTGTTCTCCTCCAAACTTGTCCAGAAGGGCCTCTAAGTGTTCCTGTGTCAACTTTATCATCTGTTTGATATTCCAGATCTGTGAGGAAGCAAAGCAAACAACATGAACAATTTGAAATCCTTCAGTAAATGAACAACAACCAGAGTTGAAGGCCTAAAGATTACAATTTCCTGACTTGGTCTTCCCTAAATAAGGCAATAGTTGATGTCCAAAAGATTCTCACCTAATGTCAGGGTCAGACTACATCATATATATGTAACTAGTGGTGTAACGGATCATGGATCGATCTGTGATCTGTACGGATCACCCCTCACAGTTTGGCACACGTGAACCACGGATTAATATACATTTCTTTTTTACAGTTTAGTCATCATAGTGTGAAATAAAGTTTTACTGCCGCTCATACGTTTTTAGGCAATACGTCTCTAAATATCTATGCAGAGTGTCAGTGAACAGATATAAAGCAGTAGTGTGTTCACGTGAACGGAGCAGGTTAAAAACATTTGACGGTGAATGTCATGGCGAGCGGAGGAAATTCAGAAGCCCCCGGCATCATTTAAGTCACATATTTGGTTTCCTTGTTACTAGTAATGACGGGATAAGGGTGGTGGACAAAATTGTTACGGTATGTAGGCGTTATTTAATGAGAAAGACATACGACAACGGCAATACATCGGGCATGTCCACACATATGAATCGCCACCATCCCAGTCTTTCAGCGACGGGGGCCAGACCACAATAACAACAAATCACGCAGCATTTAAGAAACCGTTTGTGGCCGAATCAGACCGGGCTAAAGCTATTACCAAATTTATTGGGGTATTTATTGCTGCAGACATGAGGCCATTCTCCGTTGTGGAAAACAAAGGATTTCAAAATATGGTTAAAGTGCTTGAGCCACGCTACGAAATCCCCTCACACACCCACTTCAGTATGAAGATCGTTCCAGGTCTCTATGAAAAGGAAAAGACAGCTCATCACAGCGGAGTGGAGATTCAAGGTCCGGTGCTGTAGACACGCCCCCTCTGTGAGAGTCACACAGCCACAAATATGGCGCTACCCTTTCCCCACACAATGAAGATATTCTCATCTTTCTGAAAATAAATATCTTAAATAGTGCTTTTCATGTAAGACTATAGCCCAAAGTTATTTGCTTTAAGTGTTGTTGAAGTTATTTAAAATAAAAGGAAAGCAAAGTTATATTTGTCTCCTCCCCTTTTCTAGTGGTAAAGTGGTATCTATGCGTCCCTAGTCCCTGGATGGGAGATTACATCTCCCAGCTGGCCTGGGAACGCCTCGGGATCCCCCAGAATGAGCTGGAACATGTTGCCGGGGAGAGGGAAGTCTGGGTCAGCCTGGCCTGTTGCCACCGCGACCCGACCCCGGATAAGCGGAGGAAAATGGATGGATGGATGGATGTAGTCATACCGGTGCATAGCCGAAACAAATGCTGTCACTCGTCAAGATGCAGCAGAATATATCGTTCGCTGCTAGGAGCGCTACGGTCGGAGCTAGTTTTCTTAACTGTATTGAGAGGGACCTTTAATCATGGTTATAACTTTATAACACAACAATTAATAACCCACAACTAACACTCTTTAACAACAAAACACCACGACACAACAGTTTGTGACAAATAAACAATTTGTAACACTAATAATTGTACATTTATAAAATTTCACTTTGGAGGCGTAGATGGAATATACAGTGGCTGATGACTGTCTTGCTCCTTTGTTTGCACAGGCCATGACAGCATGTCAGCCACACAGTGCGTGAACGTATGCTCCCAACACTCGTCTTAGTTCCCGACACCATACCTGTGCATTTTACGGCTGATGTGATGCAGTCAGATTCTGACATCAAGTGTAGAGGTGAAAGTGTGCTATGACATTCCCTAGATCAATGACGGTCAATGAGTCTTAACAGGAAGGAAGCTTCCGCAAGTTAGCGCTCTGTTTTAACAATTAACAATCAGTGTGTACACACATCAGTCACTGCTGATTGGATTGAATCCACTGAACAGAAAACAGCTAAGATGAACTCAATATCAGACAGAATAATGAAGTGAGACAAAATGGCAATTAATTCCCCCTATCTGGAGACAAACCTATACTGTATGAAAGGTAAGATAAGATAAAATAAGATAATCCTTTATTAGTCCTGCAAAGGTGTATCAACCCTAAGCATTTTACTCATTTGCAAATCGTGAAATTAAAATTGCTTTGCTGTGCAACATGTGTTGTACATGTTGGCTGGTCTGTGTGCGCTGAAGAGGTTAATGGTCATCATTAGGGATGTAACAGTACATAAAAGTCATAGTTTGGATTAAACCCGGATTTAGGAGTCACAGCTCGGTTCATACTCTGGTTTATGAGTCACAGTTCGGTGTGTTAGGTACACCGGAAAAACAAAAACAAATACTGTTCAGAAGCCCTGACTGCTGTTAGGATTAAATCCTCAGACCCATTGTCAGACCTTAGGCTGGGGCAGTGGGCCCTGGCTTCCTTCTGGTGCAGGACAGTGCCCGGCCTCATGTGGTCATTGTGTAGGCCAAGGGCGTAGGTTTGGTCTCAGCATTGGTAGGGGACACTGCCAGCCCCCCCCCCCCCCCCACCCGCCATATAAAACAAACTTAGTTGATATTATGTTGAACAGGCAAACTTTATTAAAATATATTAACATTTGTGCAACTTGGAACTGATTTAAACATAACAGTAATAAAACCTTAGTTTAAATACAAAACCTTATTCTGCACCAAATAAATAATAATAAATAATTACATAAATGAATAAAAAACGCTCTGCTAAAATGCCAATATACAGTAACAGTATATTCTATATCCAAAATATATATAAAAATTTTTTCCCAGTTGTGCAGCCAAAAAAGACAAAAAAAAATAAAAAAATAAATATTCTGCAGCACTTAATAGGCTACAAATAAAGTGCTTTCCTCCTTTATGCAATTATTAGTAGTGCTGGGCAACGATTACAATTTTTATTCGCATGGATTTTTTGCGATTAATCTCATTGTTATGGCAAAGTTCAATAATGAATTCAAAAGTAGTGTATTGTGCACTTTTATTTTAAAAGTACTGCTATATGAACTAAAGGGCAATAACATTTGGTTTAAACACTTTAAACACATCAGGTTGTTGTTAGCAGCAGTATTCCCTTTACACAGCAGCAGTTCTATCTCTTCACTATCTGTGCTCAGTGTGTGACTGTATGTGAAACGTTCCACTGCTGTGCAACAGGAATAAAATGTTTCAGCACGTTTCAGCAAAAATGTCTGTCTTCATGACAGTCAGAGCATTTGAATGCAGCTCTACTGTTCATCAATATAATGCTGTAACTCCGAGGTAATGATGGTTACCCAGCGATCAAAGAATAAAGACACTTTACGCACAATTTAGGTGTATTTTCCCTTTAACTCGCGAGATGCAGGTAGCATGTTTTATACTTAATGTGAATATAATTCATACTTTGTTGGCATCTTATTCTGAAAACCGGATGTTCGTCTGAAGAAACCGGATGTTGTCTCACGTTAATCTTTCCGCTACCTTTCAAAGTCCTTCGCTCGCTCCCGATCTGTGCAGTTTGAATGCGTTTACCGTGAATTTCAGCATAAAGGTGCACTAACATGTAAGTGTCTGCTGAGTTGACCACGGAGATCTGAGTGTCTGCTGACTTTACTGCAGCGATGTCCAGTAGTCTCCATTCCTCCACCGCTGCCAGTGAGCAACAGACTTTCAAAATTTAAAAAACGCTCTATAAAATAATTGTCGGCGTTAATTAATTAATGCGTTAACTTGCCCAGCACTAATAATAATAATAATAATAATACGAATGAGTTTGCAAATATATTGTGCAAAATTATTTTTTCTAACAGGCAATTGAAATCAACAAAATATTGGTGGGGACAATTGTGTCTTTCCCAAACTTTGGTCGTGACTAGTCCCTATGGACCATATGCAAACCTACGCCCTTGGTGTAGGCATTTCTTGGATGACGAAGGCATTGAAGCCATTGACTGGCCTCCACGTTCCCCAGACCTCCATCGAATTGAGAACCTCTGGGACGTTGTGTATCGGTGCATCCAATGCTGCAGATTAGCAGCACAGACTGTCCAGGAGCTCACTGATGCCCTGATCCAGGTCTGGGAAGAGATCTCCCAGCACACCATCCGCTGTGTCATCAGGAGCACGCCAAAATGCTGTCAGGAGTGCATACAGGCACGTGGGGCCAAACACACAACTAAGCCACATTGTCGTAAGGAAATTCAGGCAAGTTGGATCAGCCGTTCAATTTTTCACTTTGATTGTTGATCCAGCCCTCAATGGGTTAATGATATTGGTTTCCATTGAATGTTGTTATGTCATTTTGTTCTCGACAAATTACACAAATTTTGTATCAAGGTCCGATGTGTGATTTAAGTGTTCCCTTAATTTTTTTGAGCAGTGTAGATAAGATCACTTTCTTTTCATTTATTTTGAACAAACATATGTGCAAGTGTCGGAGACAAACAAAATCATCCTGCTGGGGACTGGGGGAGCGTTTTGCCCACTGGCAACTTTGGTAAACTACTTTTATCAATAAAATAAGGAACATTTCAAACACTCCTGTATTACACTGTACAAACACTGAACCAACTCTTGCCCAAAAGCCAACAGGTTATATATAATATGCTGTTAAACTGCAAAGCATCTCTCATGCTATGAAATTGGAAATACTAAATTAATAGAATAATAAAAAATAAAAAACTTTATTAATGTTACAATTAGTTCCACCTTGGCTGTATGCCAATGCTCATGCCAGGCGGGTCTACCAGCTCCTGTGTTTCATTTGCTCTCACCATAGTGTGACTGACTGACGGTTCTGCATGAATCCCCCTAATCTCTGTAGGTATTAGGGGTGCAATGCATCACAAAATTCACTAGGTGGCACTATAACTGATTCAAAGTGACCCTGTGGATGTCCTCATGCTCAAATGTGTGAAATTTGGAATTTGTAAATGAGTAGGTTCAATACAACAGAGTCGTATCAGACTCACTTTTTAATCTTAGTTCCGCTCAATATGTCACACAAGTGCATGCCGTCTAATGTTGCTAGCTGTCCACCTCTTTACCTATTTTTGCAGTTAGGCCATCTCGTTACTACCAAGATGGCGATGACTGAATCCACCCTCTTTGAAATTCACAACGGCTCTTCAGAAACGTATGGGTGATGTCACAGACACTGCGTCCATGTTTTATACAATCTATGAGGAAGTGTTGAGTTTCATTAACAGCAGCTTAACAGCAACCAAAATAACAACAATGTAGAACAATAACACAACAGGTGGCCACATCGCCTATCATAGTTGATTGCAGCTGAACAAAGTGAGCGTCTCAAATCTACGGGGAAGGTAGGGCGACAAGTGTATCACAGGATCAGTCTAAACCCACGTTTGACAACATATTGGGGAGGATGAAAAATGGTATTTACATGCACTCCAGTCCTACATTCAGAACAGGCTACAGTCCATCTGACCTCACTAATGAACCTGGTCACCATCTATAACTAACATTTAACCAAGATTTATGTTATTGTTCAAATGCAAACACGGAGTTCACAATAACTTTTATTCTTCATAAAAACACACAATTCAAATAAAAGATTGTAATTTTATGGATTAAAACAAATCTTGTCATAAGTTTTAATGATTTATTATAAGATGCTTAGAGCTAGTGTAAATAGGTTATAATTTATTATCTATTTATGTTTCTCCTTCAAACAACTGGTTTGATTCAAGTTTCTCACCAAAACTACATTTTACCACATTACATTTTAACACATCATGATATGTTATATTTACCTTCGCCCCATACTTTTTATACTGAACAGAGCCTAAATGCATCACAATGTAACCGAACCGTGTCTGTTAGCGGTGCTGCTAACATTACTAGCTCTCCTCCTCCTTGTTTACAATGTAACATTATCAGAGATCCGCGACCAGAAAAGCATAAATGATGTTCTGATCGCATTTTTTACTGAATATTGGCGGATAACGATGGTCAGGAAAACTTTATTTCACACTGTGATGGTTAATGTTAAACCGTGTCATTAATCCGTGGTTCAAATGCGTGCCGAACAGTGAGGGGGGATCCAAACAGATCACGGATCGACAGTGGTCCGTTACACCACTAACCGCAAAAATAAAAATGGGAACAGAACTTTATCTGAATGTCAACTACACGCACCAGGGTCAAAATTTAGTTCATGCCCTCCAAAAAGTCCCTGCTCAAGAGGTTGAACTGGCGTAGAAACTTTTAGGATGAAGTTTGTTTCACTGAACGGCATCCATTGTTTGTAGAAAACAACAGCAAACAAGGTTTAAACATGGTGGGAAATCCAGAAAGGAACGTCCTGTGTTTTTACAATAGTTCCTGGACTTCTGAGGTGCTGGAATAGTCAACAGAAAATTGAACAGAAACTATTTTGATTGATTAATCTTGTGAAACAAAAACACAAAACATTTATTTGGCTCCAGGTTCTCCAATGTGAAGATTTACTGCTTTTTCCACTTTTATATCACAGTAAACTGAAGATGTTTGGGTTGGGGACTAAAGGAAAACATCTGAAGAGCCACAATGGAATCAGGAGACAGACAAGAAATTCATCTGCAGAACAATCAATAGAAATAAGAATTGCTGAGTTCAGACCTCAGTCGAGTTTAGTTTAGGGACAATAAGTCCAGGAGATGGTTCCGTGAAGGTGGCTATGGACTTCAGTGTGATGGATAATCCATCTGCAACAAGTTTTGAGACTTTCCAATAAAACTCAAATGAGCTGAAGCCAATGCATGTGTGGAAGAAAGGAAAAGTTAAAAGTGATGCATTGAAAAATGGCCAGTGGTGAAGTATTGATAGCTTGTGTATGGGCAAAAACATGCAAAGCCAATGGTATGGCTCTTTAATATTTCATGTCAAATAGCGGAGCAATGTGCATGTCTATAAAAGTTGTATTATGGCCCATCACCACCTCCCTCGTCAACCAAGATGGCACCTGGATTTTAAATAGGTTTCTGCTACCATCCAGGCATTAGCTGGTCAGAAATCCCAGCCCCGGAGATAACCGGTTGAAAACAGCTGGACTTATGAGGCAATTGAATATTTAGTTATCATTTAATGTTTAAGAAGAGTATGACACGGTACTCCGGACCCCTCTATAAGGACAACTCACAACAAGTTATGAGCTAAGCTAGATATGCAGACATGGTGACAATAGAGTTTAAGACTGACTGACATTATGATATTGCCTTTCTGCATTAATAATTGAAAATGAACTTGAGACGGAAACCCACCAATTTCACACGTACACAAGTTTACTCATCATGAAGAGTACTCAGCCTGCTCTGGGGAGCTTTGTCAAGTCTCAGAAAGTAACCCTGATGATGTCATAGTGATGTCATCAGGGTTACCTCAGGTTGGACATGGAGACCACAAATTAGGGAGAAGTCAGTGTTACCAACTTGGCCAGTGGAGTTAAGGAACAGGTGGACATTTACCAGGTCTAGGGAAACCATAGTATTGGTTGTATTCATGTTAATTGTTTTGGGAGCTTAGGACTAAAAGTCAGGATGTGTTAACCTCTGCCCTCCACTCCTGCAAGTGCGTTTGCATTGAAATACTTTACAACTATGCCGCTGTCAAACTGACATGTTGACAGGAAAACTCCTAAACTGCTGAGCTGATGAGACTTGTTGGACCTTAGCATGGGGCCAGGGGCCACATTAGTCAGAGGTTTCAGTTTAGAATAGAGAACATGTTAACCTCTATATAAATGTAGGGGTAGGCCATCTAGTAGTAATATCATATTTAGAAATATCTGAACAGTGACTGGAAGTATGGTGCTAATGCGATGGAGCCTGTCGTAACGGTCCAGCAGGGAGGCCTCTGACCTGCAGACTGAACACAGATTCCCAAGATAGGATCCATTGTCACTGTGTATTAAATGATGAGGTCACAGCCTGACAGAAGGTTCCGCCTGTGTGTGTGTGTGTGTTTGCACGGACGTGGGGGCGGGGATTGTAAAGCCTATAATATAAATAAAAGTAGCGTGTGTAGCTAAATTACACCTAAAAGAAACACAAGCACGACTTCAGTTAGCCTCCACCTCCATCATCATCATCATCTTTAAGGTAAAGGACCTCAGTGGATTGGCCAAAATGAAACTGGGCACATTAGAGTGCATAAGAAAACTGTGTAATTGCGTATCTATTTTGCGTTAACGGCGGTGTGTGTGTGCGCTCGGTTGGCGCACCAGGCTATCGCTGCAGTGAGCCTGGAAGACGAAGCCAAGAGCGAATAGAATAAAAGCAGCAGGCCCGAAATAAACACAGGCTCCGCCGAATAAAAGCTTCCCTCCTGCTCGCACTCATCCGCCGCATTGTTCTGGTCAGTGGGAGCCGCGTGTTACGGTGGAATCGTTTAGAGCGTCGCCTTGGTTCCCCGCACTGCATCCCCCACGATCCACGGTTACAGCCGGTGTTTCCTGAACATATACATCCAGTTACCTCCGCTTGGAGCCCGTGTCCCCCTGCCCAGCTCAGACCCCGCTACCCCACCACCACCGCCGCGCTTACCTCCTCATCCTGCGGACCTCCGGGGATACCCGACGTGCAGGAGGAGTCCAGCCCTGCACCCAGCTCCTCCAGGCCCGGCTCCCTGCCCGGCTCCCGCTCCGTGGTGTCTCCGTTAAAGACGGGCGGTGGGGACTCGGCGCTGCTCAACGCCGCCATTTTAAACTGCGAGGAACTGAGTGGAAAATAATAGAGGGAAACGCAGGCTGGAGCTGAGGACAGGAGGGGGAGACAGAGACGCTGGACGGGGCTCCTCTGGACTGGATGGGTGGCACAGAACCACTTTGTATTATTATTATCATTGTTTCCTGGTGGGCAGTGAAGATATTTAGTTTATTACTTGTACAACTATAATCATAAATATTATTATTATCATTGTATCCTGGTGGGCAATAAAGATATTTTCTATTATTTTTATAATTATAATAACAATAATTATTACAATTATTTTTACAATTACTATTATCATTATTATTATCATTGTATCCTGGTGGGCAATAAAGATATTTTCTATTTGTATTATTATTTTTATTATCATTATCATGAGGCCCTGGTTACTAGGTCATGAAGTACTGTATATAGTTCCAATAGATCATGAAAACCTAGGGTGCAACCTTTTATGGTTCACATGGTAGTATAAAAAAATTGTGTTGTTTGTCGCCAAAAGCCTTGCTGTTTATGTATTGTAGTGTCACGGGTTGTCCCTAGGGTGGGGCAGTGCAAAAGAGAGCGTAAAACAGGCACAATCAGACAGTATAAACAAAAATAAAGGTTTATTGGTCCGTCCCACTGGCAGTTCCTTTAACTCAAAAATCACAAATCAAACAAAAAGGTCCATGAACTAAACATAAAGTGTCCCGGAGTAGAAAGTGGTTTCTTCACCAAAAAAGTAGTCCAACCCTGCCAAGTCCTTGGTATCTGTTCCTCCATGTAGGCGTCCTCTCTCCTACTCCAGGCCCAACTCCTCTCTGGTGGTGCTCTCCCCTCTGCCCTTTATTCAGTTTCCCAGCCCTGCCTCAATTAGGGGCCTTAAGCACCTGCAGCTGGGTGCCTGATGAGGCAGTCTGGGAGTTGTAGTCTCTAGCCCGGCGGCCATTTTGGGTTGTGGGCACTGATCCTGGGTGAGGATGTAGCGCCCCTCCACAACCTGTCCCCTTGTGATACCACAGTATATATCATTATATCATATTCTATATTTTATCTCTAAAATGTACCTTCTTGTATATACCTAGTGTATTCTTATAACTAAACTATAGGATGGCACAAACTCGACTATGACTAAACCCTTTAATGTAATGTCGTGGAATGTCCGGGGCCGAAACTCGCCAGTTCAGTAACAAGGACCACGCCAATAACAATATGAGTTTCGAGAGGTTTATTGCGTGATGGAATGATTGTTAGATTTAGGAAGCGGAAGGGGTTGAGATACACCTATCCCTACCCTTCATCCCTCTATCTCAACGTCGAGGTAGAGGGATTCAGATTCAACTTTATTGTCGTTGCATAAAGTGCAAGTACTAGTACAATGAAATGCAGTTTTAGCATCTGCCCAGAAGTGCAAAAAGAAGCAGTAAGGTGCAGTGCAATGCGCTAGATAAATAACAGTATAGATAACAGATAAATAATGAAAAGAAAAATAACAGTATTAGTATAACAATATAAATAGGTTAAACAGTGGATTTGAAATGCAAGATATATACAGTATATATATATATATATATATATATATATATATATATATATATATAGTAGAAACAGTAAGGTGTAAGTATGTATAGTCACTGGAGGAAGATGTCTGGTGTGTGTGGGAGGAGGGGGGGGGTAACCGGGGATGGGGTCTATCACCGTGGTGCAGAGTTCTAAGGTGACAGCTGAGGGGAAGAAGCTGTTCCTGAGCCTGCTGGTCCTGAAACGGAGACTCCTATAGCGCCTCCCAGAGGGGAGGAGGGCAAACAGTCTATGGCCGGGGTGTGAGGTGTCTCTGGTCTCGATGGTAGGCAGTGGAGTACCGGTGATGCGTTGGGCAGTTTTTACCACCCTCTGCAGTGCTTTCCGGTCTGAGACAGAGCAGTTGCCATAACAAACTGTGATGCAGCTTGTAAGGATGCTGTCGATGGTGCAGCAGTAGAAGTTCACCAGGATCAGAGGAGACATGTGGATTTTCTTCAGTCTCTCAGGATGAAGGGGTAGGGGGATGTAGGGTAGGGGTAGAGGGATGAAGGGATGTAAGAGTGTAGGGAAGAAGAAACGAGGAGGGTTGGTGACCAATGGCTGGCGGGAACTGGGGGAATGGAGACTGTAGAGTGGGGGCCATCTCTTTAGAACCTCTGGTGGTGCAGAGTCCCCAAAAAGATTACGATATCGGATGCCGGTGGGCATTTCTGATGTCGTTCAGATTGGAGCAGATGTAAGAGAAGTACGTGGGGAAAGACCAACGGCCGAAAATCTTAATAATGTAGTCATAATTCCTTGGCTTGAAGCAGTGGAGGCGGCGCCGATGCGGAAAGGATGGCCCGAGTAGACTCGGGGGGTATTCTGGATCTGGCTAAGATATGGCGAAAGTGGTAGTAAACCCAGGACTGCGTGGGCCCTTTGCCTGTGACGAACAGGGGATCTTGCAGGAGACGTTCGGCTGGCTGAACTTGAGCTTGGGCTTGAGTAGGCGTGGATGGGTTTGTACGGACTTGGATATGAGTCTAGTCGCAAAGGTAGATGGGCTGGAGTGGACCATATTGGTTGGTCTTGCTGTGTTTGGGGTGATAGGTGATGGGAGGTGTCGGGAGGATGGATGAGATGTTGGGTGCGGTGGCATGTTGCGACGGATGGTGGTTGGAGTTCGAGGGGGTGAACTCGGAGCAGTGTAGGAAGCCGAAGAAAGCCATCAAGAACGTGGATTTTAATACTTTGTCCATGAAGGGAGACAGATAGCCTGAGCAAAGTGTACGGATGCAGCGGGTGAGGAGGTCCGAAGTGAGCGGCAGACATTTAGGTGTAGGGCGTGGTTCAGCTTTAAGGAGACCTTCGAGTAGCATAGCGATGTGTGAGCGGGTAGAGGCTGGCACGGAGCCCCCGAGGACGGTTTTGTGAAGAAGTTGCCTCCACTTATGTAACCCGTATGGTGGAGGACTTGAACAGCATTATATCTAGATGAAGTGACCGTCCTTTATTAATAATGTCTATGACGCCGCTATTGTCTGAGTAGGCTATGGTCTTTTTTGGACCATTCATGCCCCGAAAGAATGGCTGCTATGACTATGGGGTACATTTCGTAGATCGCGGAAGAAGGAGTGATGGATGGGAATTCGGGTGGCCATGCAGCTGAGAACCGCTCGTCACCGTCGAGGCCGCCGAAGCTGATGGAGGGTGCTGTGTCTGTGAAAAGGTGGATGTCTTCCAGCTTCGCGGTGTGTTCGTCGTAGAAGTAGATGCCGTTCCGAGAGGAGAGGAACTGGTGTCGTAGTTTAGCTTGGTTTTGCGTGCTTCGTCAAGTGTGACATTGTCATGGAGGTTTGTAACAGAGGCGGCGACTAACAGGATGTGTGGCAAAGGGAATTTTTTTGTTTATTCTATTACTTCCATTTATATATTTTCTGGTGGAGGAAAGCCGAGTGTTTAGACCAGGGGTCTCTAACTGGCGGACCGCGGTCCAGACCCAGACGCACTTCTATTTTAACCAGCGCAGCTTTTCCAGCATTTACAGTACTTGTTCAGCGGTGCAGGAAACACACCGACCAATGCGTTGTAAATCACATCACGTCATGCAGCTCAGCCAATCAAATATGGGTATTCTGACAAGTTTCTTGACTGGAGTGAGCTGTATACACACCGTGACACATGGGGGAGAAACGAGGAAAGAGTTGGCAGAGCAGGACAATCGTCATGTGTGTTGAAAAAGTTAAATAACAGTACGATCTCTAAAAGGAGACGAATGGCCAGAGAGTCCAGGATCTTCAAACAAGACTGGATAGACTTTTTAAGGTGAATTATAGAGCAATATTACCCATTCACTCCTGAAATGAAGATACAGACTGTAAATGCCCAGCCGGACTGGGGAGGCTCGGGATTCAGACTCACGGAGACGGGGCTCCGGGGAACAGGATTCAGACTCCGGGGAACAGGATTCAGATTGTGGCCCAGCAGGGTCCGGAACTGGAGACCGCTGTGGCTCGGAGGCGGCGGCGGCGGCGGCCAGAACTGGAGGTCGCTGCGGCTCGGGGGCGGCGGCAGCAGGAACTGGAGGTCGCTGCGGCTCGGAGGCAGGAACTGGAGGTCGCTGCGGCTCGTAGGCAGGAACTGGAGGTCGCTGCGGCTCGGAGGCAGGAATTGGAGGTCGCTGCGGCTCGGAGGCAGGAACTGGAGGTCGCTGCGGCTCGGAGGCGGCGGCGGCAGGAACTGGAGCCCTCTGCGGTTCGGAGGCGGCAGTGTCAGGAACTGAGCCCGCTGCAGCTCGGAGGCGGCAGGAACTGAGCCCGCTGCGGCTCGGAGGCGGCGGCGGCGGCGGCAGGAACTGAGGCCGCTGCGGCTCGGAGGCGGCGGCGGCGGCGGGAACTGAGGCCGCGCTCCTTGATCTTGAAGGAAATCTGTCAAGACAGATGTAGTGCAGGACAGTCTTTGTGGAGTGAAAGATGAGCAAGAGAGGCAGATGAGGAGTGGGTTATGGTTAGGGGGTTAAAGGATTGAATTATTCACTGTCCATGAAAACTCTGAGACTCTGAACCTGGGAATGAAACAGCCACCACCCATCACCACCCTAACCCAAAACGGGGCTTCCCTTGTCAAATTATCGGACTTTGAAGTTCCACAATCACAAGCACACGATAATCCATCCACACAAAATAATCACTCCATCCCAGCCGGGATTGGAGTGGTTCAAAAAATGAGACTCTAATATTTTGGTCTTATACATAAAGTCTTTGTTGCAACGTTTCTGAGTTGTTTGCTCCTTCTTCAGGCAAAGACAGACTTACTCTGTGATGTGTGTCATATACACCCTTGGCCAAAAGTTTTGAGAATGACACAAATATTAATTTTTACAAAGTCTGCTGCCTCAGTTTTTATGATGGCAATTTGCATATGCTCCAGAATGTTATTCAATTCAATTTAATTCATTTTTAAATAGCCCAAAATCACAAATTACATATTTGCCTCTGAGGGCTTTACAATCTGTACACATGCAACATCCTCTGTCCCGGA